TCACACAAGATTTGAACATATAAATCCCCTTTTTCCAAGGAGAAAATCCACCCCACTTTAACTCCAAAGCTCACCACCTCTTAGACCAAACAATGAGAACACAAAGGGCAATTTCTGTCCTCAAAGGACAACCTCTCAAAGATGCTACTTGATTCCACTGCAAGGGGCCACAAGAAAGTTTGAAAGACAACTGGAGGCATAACAGTGATTGAAAACTAATCAAGAACATTATTATAACCTGCTATAGGGTTCAGGCTCATTACCCTTTGGACTTGCAACCTCTGAGAAGCTGTCAGCGTTACGAGCACTTCTCTCCTGCTCATTGCAGCTTCTGTGCCCGATCCGCAGCACATAATCAATTGTAATGTTTACCTGGGGAGGAGCAGCAAGATTACAGGCACCCTGTAATTATTTGCTCTGTTATATGAAATTTCAGCCTAAGCACAGTCTTTGCAGAGATGCACCTGCCACGGCAGGGCTCGTGACTCACTCTTCATAACAGCACTATAAGATAATCTTACCACTCGGATGAAACGCTCGCACGGCGAAAACAACTTATGCAAGTTTCATGAATGATGTTCTTAAAAGGCAAGAGAGCCTATATCAGGAAACAGAACAAAGTTCAATGTTAGCAGAGGTAGTCATCAGGTATTTTTGCTTTTACATAAGAGAAAAGAAGATGGGGAGAAGATTGGAGGAGCGTAGATTGCAGGGCAGCCCGTTGCTTAGCCCTCAGAAACACGTTATCACCGCTGCCTGGCGGTGCCGAAGGAGAGGGTAAACATCAAAGGGCTCCGAGCGCCGCTTCTGCCCTGGGGTGAACCGGGTAACGCAACCTGCTCTGCCGGGGCCCGCTGGCCTCCTCGCACGCGCAGCGGTTCTGCCACCTGCAAGGCCGAAGAAAGAGGCTGCCGGGCACCAGCTGCTCCCAACAGGGACAGGAGGGTCACCGGGGCGGCGGAACAGGGGCAATCTCCTCCTCGGTTCTCTGCCCCCAGCCCCAGGGCAGCCCGGGGTTGTGCCCTCACACTCCGGTGCCCAGATCCCGGGAGCAGCTTTGATATCGCACGCACGGGGAATTTCCTGCTTGCTCTGGAGCGGAGGGGGAACAAAGCAGTCGCAGAAACACAAACTTGCTTAATCCTACCCCCATTGAGGAGCCACCACCCCAGAGATTATTGACTAAGCGAGAGGCAACTTAGGAGCGAGGACAGAGCAAGGGATTTGCTCTGTCACAATCAGAGCCGGACTCGTTACCAGAGGGTTAGTGCAGCAGCAGGACACGAGCTCCTCTCTCCTGCCCTCTCTTCAGGACCCTCCTAGGCCTACGACAGGGAGGCTCAAGATAAAGCCAAATCAGGAGGCCCACGAGGACACGAGGCTCTTCAGCAGCCAAACAGCTTCCCGACCCGCAGCAGATCTGCCCACGAGCTGCCCTGCCTGCGCACAAGGGCTCATCAGGGCTTATCGGAGCGTGGAAGGACAGGCCCCTCAATGTCCACCTGGGTCCCATTCCAGAGTTTACAAACAGACCTGGGTCTCTATGGGCTTCTCAGGAGGATATATTTTTATAGTGTTTTTTAAGCCACAGATACCACCCCATCCCAGCGAGCTTCACTCACAGGCAACAAAAATATGCGATCCTAAGCACATCCCACCAAGTGTGGTTATTTCTCCCAGTATTCCAGCGGTTAATCCAGGTCAGGGCAGCGCCTGGTGCTGGCAGACCCGGCACATCCCCCTGGCTGTGCTCCCTCCTCCAGGTGAGAGGAATTCCCAAGAAACCATCCACGGGAGTGACTGACACCAGCACCACAGCCGGTGTTCTCACCCCCTCCAGCTCCGCTATTCCCAAGCGGGGGAATTCCCATAATTTCCCTTGGACAAACGCAGCCCACGGGAGGCCGGTTTCGCTGCCCAGGGCCCTGCCTCCGAGCAGAGGCTGCGGTTGCAACACCCAGCAGCTCCACAGGAGCAAGAACCGCCAATGCTCCGTTCTGCCCGCGGGAGAGGCGACCCGGGGCAGCCCGGGGGGGCTCCGGTGAGCCGCACGGAGCGACCTCGGGCCGGAGGAAGCTCCGAGGAGCCACAGGCCGGGACAGGGAGGCGGCCCCGGCCCGGCGGCCCCCAGGGGCTCCGCAGCTCCGCGAGGCGGAGGGGCCCGGCCGTCCCGGCCCCGCCAGCCCCAGCAGCCGCGCGGGACGCAACGCCCAGTCACCCCCCGCAGCAGAGCCCGGCTGCCCGGGCCCCGTGCCGGGCAGCGCCGGGGGCTCCCTCCCCGGCAAGCCCGGCGGGAGCCGCTCCTCCGGGAAGGGCGCCCGAGCCCGCAGAGCCACAAGCGGCCCCGGAGCCCCCCTGCCGCCCCGCCGCTCACCGTGGCGTCCGGCCCCTCCGCCCCTTCCCGCGGCGGCGCCCGCAGCCCCGGC